GCGGAGATGCTGCCGGCCCGGAGGCCGATGCGGTTCGGCCACAGCGAGGGCCACACGGATGTCTGCTTCGATGACAGCGGGAGGTAAATGCCCGGCTCCTAGAGACCTGTGGGGGGGACAGTGTGGTGTGGGGCAGGGATGGGCTTGTTCCCGGGATGTGGCTTTCCCAGGGGTTTGTGTCCCCGCCGCGAACTGGGGTGGGTTGGTGGCCTGGCCTGGCCTGGCAGCTCCTTTGGAGATGTGGAGAATGGGCTGTGTGACCTATGGTTTGATGCCCTGGGTCTTGGGTGGATGAAGACGGGGAGAACGGAGGTTTAGGTGCCATTTGGGGCTCCTGTCTGATGTATATTCATGTACACATCATATGCATCCAAATGCACCATTGAGGAGAACTCCCCTGCAGGGCTGGGGCCAGGGCTGGGGTCCCCAGCACAGGGAGGACATGGAGCTGTTGGAGAGTCCAGAGGAGGCCACGGAGATGATCCCAGGGCTGGAGCAGCTCTGCTCTGGAGCCAGGCTGGGAGAGTTGGGGTGTTCAGCCTGGAGAAGAGAAGGCTCCAGGGAGACCTTAGAGCACCTTCCAGTGCCTGAAGGGGCTCCAGGAAAGCTGGGGAGGGGCTTGGGACAAGGGCAGGGAGGGGTGGGATGAGGGGGATGGCTAAAAACTGTAAGAGGGGAGATTTAGGTGAGACATGAGGAGGAAATTCTTTGCTGTGAGGGTGGTGAGACCCTGGCCCAGGTTGCCCAGGGAAGCTGTGGCTGCCCCATCCCTGGCAGTGTTGAAGGGCAGGTTGGATGGGGCTTGGAGCAACCTGGGCTGGTGGGAGGTGTCCCTGCCCATGCAGGGGGGTTGGATCTGGATATACTTTAGTTCCCTTCCAACCCAAACCAATCTATGTTTTTATAACTTAAATGTAAGCATGTATATTTATATATATACCTATATATATAGTATGTATACAGTGTGTATATATAGTATGTGTCTATATAAAAGCTCCATATGCACTTTTTATAAGAGTGATTTCACAGGATCCAGCAGAAATCAATGTAGTGTGGGAGTAAATATTATCAACATAAGCACTAGGAAATTAGAAATATAGTTGGATAAATTCAATATTGGGCTTGTTATCTTTTCCTGTTATTCCTGTGCTACTTCTTGAATGTATAAACTAAATATTTGCTATTACCTTCTTACTGATGAAAAATAAAGGGTAAACCCAAAAACAAGCCCTGTCAAAATGAACTCAAAGGGTAAGTCATATATTTACTATAGTATAAGTCCATATTATTTATTTCTTTTGACTTGGTACAAAGGGGTCTGTTAATTATTAGTCTAATAATAATCCCTTGTGACCATGAAAAACCTTGTTTGCCATTACAATGCAAATATTTTTTTAAAAAAGATGCAGATGTCTCTGCTGAAGACCACTGGTCCCCCTGCTGCTGGACTCTCCAGCATCAAAATATTCAATATCAGCACAATTTTCCATTGCTGTTAAAGCACAGCTCTCACAGAACTAAGAAGAGCAACATCACAGCTTCACCACTGACTCTGAAATATTTTGCCGTTTAATTAGATTCTTCTGGGGACTGCAAACAGCTTTAGGAAAAAAAAAAAAGCAGAGTTTGATTATAGATTCACAATGTCTTTAAAAATGTCATGAGAACTTTGCTCTGTAACTTGAAGATATTGCTTGCTGCTTTAAAGTTGTGCAAGGTAACTCCAGCAAACTGGAATTCTGTATTAACTATTTTTAAGGGTTCTGTAGGGCCTAGAACATATTAAGCTTGTTAAACCTCAGCCAAGTGTGCATTAACACTCATTGTTTTGCCCTGAACTTTGTAGTAAGGCAAACTTTTAAAGTCTTGAGATGCAATTAGATTCCCAGTTCTTAGAGAAATCAGTGATAAATAAGTCCTTTGAAAAATTCACTCTAGGTCCTGGAAAAAAATGATTGACAGGGTCTGGTCAGATGAGTCACAAGTCTAGGTAGTTATCAGAGACTTGAGGTGCTGCTAGCAGATGTGATTTGCTCCCCCTCCCTGTGTTCAGTAAGCTACTTGGACATAATAAGTGCAGGTATTCACAGTATCACATAGTATGGATTGTATTTCAGTTTGACAAAAACCCTGACACCTCAGGAACATTTTCATTTTGGGACCAAAAGTCATGATGTCTGTCCTTTCCATTCCTGAATGTTAACAAGTCCCTTGTCTCTCCACAGCTGCATTGTAACTTGTGGTGGTGATGGAGATGTGAGAATTTGGGAAAACCTGGATGATGATGACCCAAAGTCCATTAACGTGGGAGAAAAGGCCTATTCATGTGCTCTGAAGGTACCATAGTTTACAAAACTTCTCTAAATTGTGTCACACTGGTGTTGATACATCACTTTACAGGTGCTGGATTTTCAAACTCAGGGGTGCTGCTCATGTGGGTAACATTAAGCATTACTAGGATAATATACAGAAAAAGACAAGGGTATTATTAGCACATTTCAGTTTAGTGTATGTTAAGTATCTAGATCTTTCTCTTTAAATTAATGTGTGAGAATAATAAATTGAATGCTGTTTAATGAGGGACAGGTGTTTAAATTTGAGCATATGAACATATCCTCCCCTTAAGTCTAAGTGAAGCTATTAAAGCAGTATTGAAAACATAATTTCCTGAAATACACAGAAATTTAATTGATTTTATGTACCTATAGACTTTTAAAATATTTTCACTAAATGAAGTATTTTATATAGATCAAGAATATTCTGACAATTCATTTTACCCCATGCAGGATTGTAGAGGAAAGATTCCTGTTAAACTTCTATCATATTTTTTCCTTCTCTTCCTTCACATTCAGTTATACTCATTTCTATCTTTGATCTCCTTTCTGAGAAACAAACCCAGCAGATTAAGCTAATTATGCAGTGAACTTTTTAGGTCATTTCAGCTCTTACTTGGAATGTGAGTTGCAAAGTTTCCCAGGGTAAGAGGTGATCATCAAGTATTAGGAAAAATGCCAAAGAGTTGTTTTTATGTGGCCTTGTTTTAAGGCCCAAGGAATTATAATCTGTATTAGTCAGAAACTACTTTCATAAAGTCAGTGTCTGGTAATGATTTGGTGATTCTTTTTTAGAATTGGTGGATATTTTGTTGTTTATCCCAAAGATGTCAGTGATCCCCAGGGTCAGGGTTTTTAAGTGGTTAAGTTGTAGCAATCTGTGAAAATGCTGAGGAGAGGCAGTTGTGCAGTCTGAGTGACTGGCAATAGGAGCATAACCTGCTCTGTTGGCTTTAATGTTAAGGCAGTGCCTTTATTACATCTTACAGGAGTCATTACTTGTAAATAGCACTGCAAATAAGTTGCCAGTATCAGTTTGTGTAATAGGAGATAATGCACATCTGTGTATTTACTTGGAGAATTCTCAGTGTTTTCTTTTTGTGCAATTATTCCTGTACTACATTAGTACTAGAAAGTCTATTATGTTGTCTTGGTGGCAGCTGTAGAAGAAGAAAGGAATTCCAGAAGTCTATACCAGGTCTTCAGATATTGTGTAGTTAACTTTGCAGTGAGAAAGGACAATTTAAAAATGTTCTTCAGCTATTTATGGTTTTGAAGAGGATCATGAAAGAGGAAATAGGTGAAAATTAACATATAGCTATAATATTTTTAAAAAATAAGAATGTGAAAGCTTGTTCAGCACCACTGCCTCTAATTAAACCTCATATCCCTTTTAACATAACCTCATGTATCTATTCCTCAATACCTGTATAATCTATTTGCATAATTGATTTTTAGGGTATTTTGCTGCTGATTTTTCATCATGTGGCTTTTCACAAACCTAGTGAGGTGACTTGAATGAGTTCTCTTAGTGGCAGAGCCTGAAATGGCTGTTAATGAATAGGGGAGGGGAAAATCCTGGTTTTAATTTTTGAAATCAGCAG